AGTTGGCTTTGGCTGGGGCTTTGGGGTCCTGCACCTCCGCCTCTGCCTGCTCCCTGCAAGCACACACGCCTTGCTCACCCCCCCGCGCACCGCTGGGGAGTGGGCAGCCAGCCCCCGCACCCCAGGCGGGACTGATGCTGCAGTTTAGGGATCCTGATGGGCATTTGAGCCAGGGTGGCCATGGCAGAAGCACCTCTGGCTACCAGGACGCTAAGAAGGTGGCAAGTCTGACTGAAAGGGCAGCCCAGTCAAGGCAGAGCGATGAGGGGAAGCCAGGCGTTCCCCCTCCCTTGGGAGACTCTGCCCTGGGCGCCCAAGCGACACGGAGGGATCCCCCCGGGAGCAGAGGGTCAGGGGACTGCCAGGGACACAGGCTTGTGGGTTAAAAACACCCTTCACCCCTCATCCCCCCAGCAGGACGCCTTCTGGACGTTTCCCACCATGCTGGGACCTCCTGGGGCCAAGGGCTCCCAACACGCTGGTGGCTCCAAGCCCAGGAGGACCTGCCAGCCTGGACATGCTGGTCAGTGTGTTTGTTTTTTGTTTTTTTTTCTCCTCTCTTGCAAAATCGAGACACAGAGGAAAAGAAGATAAATCCTCCAAACATCCCAGCCTCTTGGAGAGCCTGGTGGGTCGTGACATGGGAGATGGGTGCCCAGAACGTGGCTGGGACGAGGCCGTGGGGAGCTCAGGAGACAAACCTGACCAAATCGACCTCGTGGGGCCTTGCCTGCGCTCATACGTGGTCCCCAGCGCTGATCTGAGCTCCCCAGCGCTGACCTGGGCTCAGCGTTAACCTCTGGTCCTCAGCACTGATCTGTGGTTCCCAGCACTAAGCCGTGGCCCCCGATGCCCCGCACAGGACCCCCCAAGCCCCTTGCCTGGAGAACCGGCGCCGCAGGCACAGGCACTAAGGCCACATTTGCCAGGACTCCAGCCACCCCTTAGGCCTAAATATAGGGGTGGTTTTTTTTAAAAAAAAAACCTCATTACACATTCTTTTAAAGTCGAGATTCCCCAGCTCTGGTCTATAATTTAAACTACGTAAAAGACCAAAAAAGCCCATTGCGCTTCCCCTCTGCACGGAGCGGTGGCGCTCACCCAAACGTGGGACAATGGACGCGTTCAATAATAAAAGGCAGAAACCAATAAATGAGTTCTCGCCGTGCTGTACCAGGGACCTGGCCACCAAATAATTCACCTGTGCAGCACAGGAGGCCACAGATGGGCTTTTACCGGTAGCCTAGGGAGAGGATTGAATCCTGTGAAGGAAATTTCCTCTTCTGACCGTGCCGAGCTCCGTGGTGCCCACCCCCCCCGGGGGGCCAACAGCTTGAGCCAGAGGGGAGCAATCGCAGCCCCCAAGCCTCCACTTCCACCCTCCCAGCTTTGTCCCAGGTTGCAAACCTGCAGCCACAGAGGCCCTGCCGGGATCCCGACGCCCTGAGCTCTGTCCCTGCTTGGCATGGGTGGCTGGGCCAGGGCAGGGTGCCCACGGGGGCTGGCCCTCGCCTGGGGGGGGACACAGTGGCCTTCCCTCACCCCCATGCCTCGGGCGCCTGGAAAAGCCCCGGACACTGCAGAAGGCCCCTTGGCACCAGCAGCACCAGCCCCAGCCCCGGGCCACCTCCAGAGCATCCTTGGGACCACCAGGCACGGTGCCACCCCAAGGCCAGCATCCCCCTCCTACCTCTCAGCCAGTTGCAGGGGCTCGGGCTCGGGGGCCGCCTCTTGCAGGGGAGCTTCGTCCGCTCCCCGCTGGG